CAAATTCCCAGAATTCACGAATCATCAGCCTCGATGACAAGGCTGATTTGAAGAGGGCGGGTCTCTTAGGACTCTAGCTTGGAGAGTCCTAATTGAGAGGGACATTCATGTAAAACTGTTAGGACTCTAACTAGGAGAGTCCTAATTGAGAGGGACATTCTGTTAGGACTCTAGCTAGGAGAGTCCTAATTGAGAAGGGCATTCATGTAGGAGGTGTTTTCTTAGAGAAGAATTAGGAGTTGTAAGGGAATAGGAGTCTTGACTAGGAGTCCTATTAGGAGTTGGTTAGAAGTAAGAGTCTTAAGTAGGAGTCCTATTAGGAGTTAGGGTTTAGAAGCCCTATAAATAGCCATGTATTCCTTCTCTTTAGATAAGCAATAGATGAATCTTTTCTGCAGCCTTTGAGCAGCAACTTGGAGGGAGGAACCCCTATAGAGTTCCAAGGAGGCCGATCCCCTAAAGAGATCAACCCCAAGTTTAGAATCTGCAAGGGTTCTAACACAAGAAAGTACAGATCAGGAGCCATAAGACGCTACCCACGGCGGCCAAGGCCGGGTCGACCTCGGACGATGAGCCCCTGCACTCACCTGATCCAGAAGGTGCAGGGAAGTAGGGAACCATGCTCGGTGCGGTCTCCTGGATCGTCGGAACCAGCATCGGTTCTGGAATACTTGCTCTACTAGAAAAAACTTCTCCTGCGGTATATGCTTCTTTCTCTCTCTCTCTCTGAATGGTCTAGAAAGCATATGCTTTTTCTCATCCGTCATGTCCTAATGCAGGGATTCATTCCAAGTGCGATATCCATAATCCTGTGATGGGTGGTCCTGGTGATCGAAGCCCTTTTGCTAGCCGAAGTAAACATTGAGTTGAGGAAGCAGGGGATGACTTGGAAGTTGTGTCCCTCAGAACAATGGCTCAGGAGACACTGGGCGTCTGGGGAGGGAACTTGGCCACTGTCGCCTACCTCTTCTTGCGCTACACTTGTGTGGTGGCCTACACCTCCAAGTCAGGGGAAGTTCTCTCTCACTTGATCGGCCTTCCTGCTTCCACCTTGGGCAACCTCTTCACGCTCCTCGTGGCACTGCTCATACTGGTCGGTGGCATGACCATCACAGACCAAGTGAATCAATGGCTGACCGTCACAATGATAGGTTTGGCTGCTGCTTTCTCTCTCTCTAAATGGCTACTACAGTTGAGATCTTCTTCTCACTAATGCTGGAATGGCACTAACCAAAGGTTTACTGGTACTGATCGAGGCCATGTCTGTCTCCTTTGGTGGTGGGACGGTCTCAGTAACCTCCTCAGATTGGGCGAAGGCGCCACAGACCACCTGGTACTGAATACTACTGCTAAGGGTTGCAAAGCAATTAAACAGTTAGTGATGAACGTGAACCACAATCTTGCTGATGCTTCTTCTTCTTCTTCTTCGTCCTGCAGTCATCTGTGCATATCTCGGTGGCAATCTAGCACGGGTGAGGTTCTCAATTCTTTTAGGCAGCACCGTGCCATTGATCTCTTTACTGGTGTGGGAAAAGTATCGCACTAGGAATCTCCTCCAATTTGGATGCCACTGATCCCATGCTATTGATTGCTCATAAGGTATGGCTTAGACGTAATCACATGAGCATAGTCCATGTGCATGCATGGCTAGACTCTGTTTGCAGAATAGATAAATATATGCCCATGGAGATAGTTCATCTCTGATCGATTTGTTGTGTCAGCATAAGGTGGAGCAGCATGTTGCCGATGGTGGAAACATTCTCAATTCTAGCAGTCGGGACATCACTAATTGGCACTCTCCTTGGCTTCTCTCTGTTCTTCGTAGAACAACTCAGCAGCTTCCATGCTTCTGTACAAGTAAGATAAAATGGAAATCTTGTTTTCACTTGAAATTCCTCAGCGTTCTACAGAATCTGTAAATAGATATCAAAATCCTGCTTGATGATACCGAAGCTACCTTACTTGTGGTCACAGGAAGAACCAAAGAGCAGCGATGATGGTACAGGAGATGCCACAGAAGACTGTGAAGCAACAAAATGGTGGGAGAGCAGCAAGCTGAATATTTCGGCAATTTCCATAGTGATTTTTCCGTCTATTCTCGTTTCAACAGTTGTATCAGATGCATTTTCCATAGCAACAGGTATTGCGGTAAACGTTTGAGTAAAACATGCAAATCTGAATCTTTCCAGGTTCTCCTACACACGATGTTCCCTGATTTCATATGTTCCCTGATTTGTACCTTTTTCTGATGGAGTATAATGAACTATGGAACGATGTCTTTATCCGTGTACATTCAGACTTTTCCTTTTTAGTTGCTAGCATAGATTGTTGCTGGTCTTCTGCTGCATCATCTTCTTGAAGATGGAATTATGCTCCTTTGCATCTTTTGTCTAATTAGACTACTTTCTTCAAGGGTGGTTACTGCATGATGGTACTGTATGGGATTCTTCCACCTGCAATGGCCTGGGCGAGAAGTTCCTAAGATAAGGACGAGGACAAAGACGAGCAAGTTGATGGTCTTCGAGAAGGTATGCCATCTCATGCTGTGCCTGTTGTACTAGTTGGGGTAGCAATATTTTCTTGTGCTGTTGTGGTGGAACAAATACTACAGGATCTAACATGTCTGACCTCCACTTGAATTCTAGCAGTAATCTAATGCATCGCTCGATATTAAGCTAGATAACATATTTCATCTGGTTTGTACATTCCTTCATGGATCTCATAAATTCTGTACATCTGTATTTTCATCAAAACTATCCCATCTGAATTATCTGCATTATGAATTATCAACTCATAAATTTATAGATGATGTCTTCCATACCATATAATCATTCAAAGCACAGCCACACGGCAGAAAAGATGTTGGTCATTTTTCATGCTTAAGAAAAGCACGTTAATTCTAGTGAACCATTCTATTCCACAAGAGAAAGGGGGCATCAGCAGTCCATTATTCTTGTAATTTAAGTCTTAATTCTACAGGGACATCTATTGCTCAAAGCTAATAAAACTAAAACCTCCACATGCCAAAAAAGCAATTCTAGATTTTGTGCTCCTTGAAAGACTTACAATTCATCTTTCACGTCCGGGGTCGCACTCTTCTCACCGACGAAGGAAGCCAATCCGTCCGTGGTGGTCTCAGATTTTGCGGCTGCTGCCGGCTTCTGGAGCTTGAAAGGGATTGCTGCATGTTGCTTGATGAATATATAGAATGCCTTCACTGTTCTGTCAGTATCCACTGTGATCTACATGATTTGGGTATCAAAGTAAACAAGTGAAAATTACAATACATTTTCAAAATAATATCATAAAAATGTTCATGGACAATAGGTAAAGGGAAAAGGATAATTAAGAAAATATCTACGGCACTGAGTTAAAAAGTATAATGTAGTTACCGGATCAAAGCTTTTGTTCCCAGCTGGAAAGAAGAGAAGTGTAGGGAAGCCATCAGTCTGAAACAAATAAAACACATACATTCAGCTCCCATGCTTCCATGTAGGGAAGTAAAATATTTGACTCTCTTGCTTGCTGATTAATCACGAAGACTAGGTTCACTGGTATCATTAAACACATCAAGAAAGTTTAACTGCATACATACATACTACATACATACATATTTATTTATTTATATAAGACACTATATGACATAGTTGACCGTGGTACAAACTTGAAGCTTCAACTCTGACAGAATAACTCTATGGGATGAACATGAACATAAAAATGAATTATGTATCAAAAACCAATTCTCAAGTCAATCTGAGTGTCAACTTTATTGAAGAGAGAATTAAGACCTTGGCCCGAGGGTGCTCATTTGTGGTGCCATCCATTTTTGCAATAACTAGAGACTCAATGCCCCGTAGATGCTTGGCAAGCTTGTTATATGTTGGTTCTAGTGCTTGGCAATGCCCACACCATGGTGCATATATCTGGATCAGAGATGAATTAACAACAAATTACAAATAAAAATTGTTTACTTCATTTATGTCGATTAATTGATTTACCTCAAGAAGAACATCCTTGGACTCATCCAGGACAATTTCATCAAAATTCTTACCAACAACAATTTTCACATCCCCATCATTCTGTGCACAATTACAATAATATAGATTCTTTGATCAGAGATATTGCACAGTAGATAGAAGCTGAAGTGGAAAACTAGGCAACTCACTGTCTCAGGTATCGGATCTGATTTATAGAAGGGCTTAAGCTTATCATCCAGGAAACCCTCAGCAAAACTCTAAATCAAGAAAGCAAACTTCAGATTTCATGAATACATGCATAGGAACATGAATTTCAGAAAGTTGATATATTATTGCAATATGTCAAGAACATCGGTGTACCAAATAACATGGTCTTGGCATTATTTAAGACACGGATCTAGTGATATTAACCTTAACATTATCAAGTGTGACTTCACCATCAAGAAAAAATTTCTTGGCATCCTCATTTCCCAAGTATGCCAAAACCTGTCCAAGTCATACAGATGCAATATTGTGGATAAGATTGAAATGTCAATGATCAATTGAAGACCAAATTTTGGATTGAATATGGGAGAAATACTTACCTGAGGACCATCTCCAGTCACTCCAAAGTAATCTGAAACTGGTTTACCGACATCCTCCTTGTCCATCTCGACATATACAAAGATAAGCTTGAGATGAAAATAGAAAATGTCACTAGTCAGATCTCATAGAACAAAATGGAGATAAATTACCTTGTATATATTACATAGCATCAGGGATCAGAAAATATGACTGGAGTTAGATGAAAACTTATGTTGTGAATAATACCTAGCCACTTGATTGTCAGAAAGGAACCTAATAAAATGACCACCAAATATTTGCCAACGATTTAAAGGGGAAAAAGAAAGAAATGAATCATTTGATGGACTAGCTTCTCACATCATAGTGACTACCCTCCAAAAGCTTATCATTATCTCTTCAAAACTAAAACTGAGAGCTACCAAAGGAAGCCTGAACAACCAACATGCTAACATAGAGTAGAACACCAGAGATCTGCTTGCGTACATTCCATAGAATTTTTTATTTGTTTGTATAAATAGAATAACAGTTGTACCTTCATCAACATAAAATCTGATAGTTTATTATGACTGAAAGTAAAGAAACAGTATTTTTCATCTTTCTAAAGAACTTATAGAGACTGCAAGTTAGAAATATTAGCACGAACCTTTCCTTTAAACAATTTTGCAGCCTCCTGGAATGCTGGCATGACTTTATTGGTATCATTTGAGATGGCAAAGAGCAAAAGCTGATAGAAGAAAAGAATCCAAATGAGAAAATAAACTGAAATGAAAGTAATTACATTTAACATACAAGTAGGGCCTACCTGTTTTTTAATAGGATTTTCAAATATTTCTGGGGCAGTTTCCATTGTAAATGTAGTGACCAGTGGAAGCTTGTTAGCAAACACAAAATCAACAATTGCTGACTTACTGAATTGACCATCTACAAAAATTGAAACTACAGTCAATATCTACCTTTTACACTTTATTTCAAGTACAAATACCTTCAGAACACTACACAAATGAGCATACCATAGTAGGAAATTTTTTCTGCCTCCTTTTTCAGTAACACCAAAGAAGGACGTTTAGCATTGGGATCAATATGAAAAAGCTTTGCAACATCAGGATTGACAGATTGGTAGAAGTTAATGCCATCTTCGAGTTTTGAAGCTGAGGAAAGTTCCTGACTTTCATCACCCTGCAGATATTAAAAAGAAATACAAAAAAAGTTACTGAACAAAAGAATCATTTGTAACAATGCTGTCACGGACAAAGTTCTAAACAGGATGTTTGATGTAATACTTATATATGTTCGTGTCTTTTGGTTTGTTCATGCTTTGCACAGCATGTAGAGGGACGGTCGAAAGCTTAAATGCCTCATTTTAGTTGGGTTTGGTGGCCTTCTTAGGCTTGTAAATAAAGGTTGTGTCATGTGAACACTTGTGAGAGATATTCGGTCTGTAGTGGACCATTTTGACCCTTTGTTGCGTAACCGTTCAGAGCTTGTAAAGTCTGTTTGTAATTTGCATTGTCTATGAAGTGTTTTCGAAAATGTTTGCTTGTGAATCCCGAGTGAGGCATTTTCTTTAACCCGTTTTCTCTTTTGTAGGTCCTAAGGGACCATGGGAGGCTTCAGGAAGGCTGACCTTTGCGGACGGACACGCAAGGGTGCCGCACGACTTAGGCAAAACTAGCTAAGTTCGTGACAGATGGTATCAGAGCGGGACAAGCACTCATAGAAACACTTGGCATGCAAAAGTGGGGGACCTAGTGGGGCTGCGTTGAGGGCAGTCAGCACACGCGCGACCGTTTGGGGGAAAACGAGCATGGAGATGTAGGGAAAAGGAGTCGCTCGGAGGAGCGGGCATCTGAGATTGGCATTTAGAGGAATGGCCAACCCTTCGCGCAAGAGGCATCACGAGAACAAGCAAGCTTGGAAGAATGCGGAGCGCATAAAGGTTGGGATAGCTGAGTTTGTGCTACGACTCAATGTTGACAACTATGCTTGATGGTGCTCAAGGCAAGCGAGGCGCTTGGTAAAAAATGAGACTATGCAAGGTGGAATGAGTTGCTCAGCGACCGAAAGAGTTGTGCAAAGCTCATAGAGGTGAGGGGAATTGCTAACTCGAAGAATTCGGTACTCATGCATGGGCTTGTATGCGGACGATGGAATGTTCGCGGTCATCCCAAGACGACCGAAACTCGATGCCATGGAGCATTGAAACTTTCTCTTCGGCATGTGAAGGATACGTTCGTAGGAGGCTGAAGTGTGCAGCGAGTTCAGCATATTGCTAGGCCTTGAGTGATGCGGTGGGGGCTGTATTGACGTGGAGTCGTAATCTAGCAAGTGCGTTTGCAGGAGGCAGAACAATGCGCAGTTTGTTCAGTAAATCGGAGTAGTCCAAAGGGATGGTGGTCTCCGAAACGAAGAGAGATATTGCTCCAACGGGATAGATATCCAGGAGGGATAAGTCCCGGATCTCCAGAGGGAGAATCATATGCAACAGACCGCATATGTTGAGGATGAGTAGCTCAAAAACAACAACTCCACGAAGCTCAATGGACCAAGCGAGCGGCGAGGAGTCGTCGCATGATCTCGCTTGAGAGAATGCATTGGTGGATGCATTGCGAGATCACGTGGGGGAGCGACCCAATGCAACACAAATGAAGGCACACTTGGAGTTGATATGGAGATCAGACTCAAGGGAGAGCTGACCCGTGGAATGGTGGGCACGAGGGCCACCATCAACTAAATGCAAAAACGAGGAACGGAATAACTTGGGTGTAACTTGGTGAAGTACCCAAGCTGCATAAAGGAAGCCGGCATAGAAGATGGAACACGGAGTGGAGACACAGAGCTTTCCTTGGACAGAGGTCAAGGACATGAACTCTTGCAGAGGCAAGAGCAGAATCATGTTGTTCCATGGGTCCTTCATTCTGATGGAGTAGACTCATCTTGCATGGTGCCAAAGACAAAGGGAGCTTATGGGCACATGCACCTTATCTCGGAGAAACATTTGATGGAGGAACTAAGGCGACTCAACTTGCGGAGGCGAAGTTAGGTTCAAAAGGCCTTGGCACGGGGCAAGAGGACGCAAAGACAAGTACTCTTGAAGAATATGCCACAGTGTTGCCATTCAAGTTGCCATGAAGGAAGCGGTGCGCAGCAGAGATTGTGCTAGTAGGGGTAGAGGCCCAGGATCCAGACAATGGTGCATCATTTTCAGCGAAGTCGGTGAACTTCGAGAGCTACTAGGCGACGGACTATCCTAGAGCGGTGCTTCATCTAGGTGTGACCCAAGAGCGGGTGGATGAAGGTCGATTGCCAAAGAAGCGAACAAAATCGAAGGTGGAAGAGACCCTGCGATGTATTGGCAGAGGCCACACATGGAGGGATCACAATTCGAGTTCATCCCACTAGGATCAGAATGCAATGGAGATGTCACCAGGAGGCGACATGGTGCAGCGGATCGTGGTGGAACAGTTCGTGGCAATGCGATACACATGACTAGTCCCGTGAGGGACTATATCATACGGATGTATGATCAGGAGCTACTGGAAGCTCCACTTTGGTGAATAACACGACGGCAAGAAGGGCTATGGATTCAAGGATTGAAGGCCATGATACCACAGAGGCGGGTCTACCGTGTGTGCATCGAATCTTGCATCAGATGAAAGCCTTGGTTATCAGTATATGGGGGATGTGTTCCACCGAGGGAAAAGTTCGAATGCAAGTATTAGTGAGTCCCATGGGAGGGACTTGATCATGCAGAGGTATGATCAGAGCAGCTGGAGAGTTGGACTGCTCCAGAGCCCATATTCGCTTAGGGGAGCCCGACAAGTCAGAGGACAAGGTCGAGTAAGCGAACGTTGCTACCAAGGAAGCTAAAGAGAACAGAATCAGTGCAAACCCTACAACATGATGGCAGAGGCCATGCATGGGAGTTGCAGTCTGTCTTTCCATCGACCAAATGGAGCTACTTGGAGAACACAGAGGTGTTGAAGCAGGGGGTCGAAAGAGGCGAGGAAGCGACGACGAGTACAGAGAGACTTAGCTACCCAAAATCAAGCATCAGTTAGAATAGAGGTGGCCTCGAAGGAGTGCCACAAAGACATATCTACTGATCATGAAGAAAAGGGATGCAGATGCAAGGCGACGGATAGTAGGGCCATGGGCATGGCAGTGCCGTGGTACCGCAGAGGCGGGACTTCCATGAAAATCATTGATCCCTTGCTCTCATAGAGGGAGAGCGCTTGGTCGTGAAAGGGGCTGAGGAGGTGGAGCATGCAGAGGCAAACTCCAAGTACCGAGACAAGGTTGAAGGGCAGAGGCCAAGGAACTTGGTAAGACCGATGTCAACGAGCTTCTCATCAAGATAACCGAAAGTGAAGGACTTCGAGTCATGCAAGAGTGCACGACCAAGGAACGAAGCAGGTAGTACGCAGTACTATACCTTTGCTACTCAGTGGAGTAGGCGACAGGGTTGATGGAGAAGACGGTACAATCCCAAAGGCGACCAAATCTATTAGAGAATTACTTCAAGTTGGGGTGAAAACTTCCTGCATTCCAGAAGTTTGATAGCATTGAGAAGATGAATCACAATAGCTAACTCAATGCAAGGAGTGCAAACACTTCGAGTGCTTCAAAAGTATGAGCAAAGAGCAGGCGAAGGTCAGTAACCAGCTCGACGCATGGAGTACAACCCTTGAGGAGACGGGCGAAGTCAAGTAACCATTGCTTTCTCAACTCTTAAGAGAATGGCGAAACCGAGTACCTAAATTCTCTTATCTATCCAGCAGAGGAGCGCTGCACAGGTTCAAAGACCCTTCGAAGATAATGGAAGACAATAATTGTCAAATCCTCACTAATAATGATCAATGCTACTGAGAGTAGATTATCCGTTTCATTTCCCAACAGAATGCCAATCGAAAGCAGAAGTGATGCGAATCTACTTGGAAGTGACAACTAAATGAAAGAAGAGTCGATGGACATTTTGTGGAGGAAGGACCCAAAACTTCGAAAGTTTGTGAGGTGATGCTCGTTAAAGCTCCAACAAGCATCCACCCAGTTCAAACAGCATGTGGTATTTGAGAGACTAGCGCAAGTAAGGATGGTCTTTTCTTTCATCTGGAGGATTCGTAGGAATCAACAAGGATCAACACAACTCAGCCAACCCCACACTAGAGTCAAAGTCATTGGCGAGTTGAAACAGCATAGCGGATCAAAAGTTCGACTACTCAACAACAGTAGCGGAGAGCAGTTGGGAGCCAAGAGGTGCATTGCAGCTGGAGCAGAAGATTGAAGACTTAGCAAAGGCAAAGAGTTGCAGTGTCGGCAAAAGGCTTCGACGAGGACGTCGAAGGAATAAGTGGGGGAGAATGTCACGAACAAAGTTCTAAACAGGATATTTGATATAATACTTATATATGTCCATGTCTTTTGGTTTGTTCATGCTTTGCACAGCATGTAGAGGGACAGTCGAAGGCTTAAAAGCCTCATTTTAGTTGGGTTTGGTGGCCTTCTTAGGTTTGTAAATAAAAGTTATGTCATGTGGACACTTGTGAGAGATATTCGGTCTATAGTGAACCATTTTGACCTTTTGTTGTACAACCTTTCAGAGCTTGTAAAGTCTGTTTGTAATTTGCATTGTCTATGAAGTATTTTCGGAAATATTTGCTTGTGGATCCCGAGTGAGGCGTTTTCTCTAACTCGTTTTCTCTTTTGTAGGTCCTAAGGAACTATAAGAGGCTTCAGAGAGGTTAACCTTTGCGGACGGACACGCAAGAGTGCCGCACGACTTAGACAAAACCAGCTAAGTCCGTGACAATGCGGTCATATCTATATAGCTAAAGTGTTACTGATGTCAAGCATCAGGTACAAAAATATCAACAAAGCCCAACAAACATAGTAAAGGACATTGATATTGCTCTCTTAGAAAATTCCTCATGTAGGGTCCTCATTAGTTACAAAAATAAAATGAAATGATCTTACTTCAATCATTAGTCAGATCATAGAGTGAAGATCTGACAGCATGTCAATTTCTATCCGCTAATATAAAGAAAAAATACAGTAATAGCCAAAATATAAACATTATGGGCTTCCAGCACTCGAAATTAATAAACCTCCATAAAAGAAATAACCATGAATTTTCTAGAGCTCAAAGTTACAAGGACTTAAGAAAATACCACCAAAGAGTCAAGAAAGCCCAAAACAACTTTGCTATCAGAAGTCAAGATCTTTTCTGCCTCCTCAATTGTGGTTATATTTTGAACTCCAGGTCCTATCTTTTTCTTGATCCAGGTGACAATTGCATCCCTGCTCATAAAAGATAAAACACAGCATCATGTACTCGTCAAAATGTTTTTGTAATTCTTAAAGCACCAAAAAGGAAACAGTACAATTAAGCAACAGGTAAAGTAAAAGTGGACAAAAGAGAATTTCTGACAACCACATGGCCTTTCTCCTTAGGGTTTTTCTTGGGCCATCCCCATGTATTGTTAGTAACACTGAACCTAATTCAAGTTTCCACCATTCTTTAGTGGATCCTGTAAGGTCTTCATTAGTTCCCTGACGCAGATTCAAGTCCATTTCAGCCAAGGCCTACAATCTTGATATCTACAATATCATAGCTTTAGAAGACTAAAAAATCCGGATGAAAGCAATTCCAAAGACGCCTCTCAGAAAGGAAGAAAAAGATAAGAACACCACAATTTATGACTAAGATACTAGACAGAGCGCATTGGCAAAGGAATTTAGATAAATTAGGTTGGATGGAAGCAGATCCAGGCAAAGAGGGCTCAGATCTAAGGAAAGGGTGAAGCCACCCTCGGACAAATTACCTACTCCTCTGGCCGGGATAGTCCTTGTGGACGCCGTCGATGAAGAAGAGCACAGTGGGGAATCCCTGCAGCTCGAAACGCTGCGCGAGCTCGTTCTCCTCCGTGGCGTCCACCTTGGCGAGCACCACGTCCTCCCCGCGGAGCTCGGTGGCGGCGGCCGCGTACTCCGGCGCGAGGGCCTGGCAGTGCCCGCACCACGGTGCGTAGAACTCGACCATCACGTGGCGGTGCTTCGCCAGGAAGTCGCTGAAGTTGCCGTCGGTGAGCACCACGACGTCCGTCTCGTCTATCGTGGGCGACATGTCGTGCGATCCGTAGTCGGCATCGTCGAAGGCATCGTACTGATCCTGGTCGGCGTACTCCGGCTCCTTGTCGGCCTCCGAATGGGACTCGTCGGCGTAGTGTCCTAAGCCACCGTCGTCGTGACTGTCAGCGGCTCCGTTGTCCTCCTCGTCGAGGAAGCTGAGATCCTCCTCGTCGTGGTCCAGATCGGCGCGCCCCTTGGGTGCGAAGGCGAGGGCGGCATGAACCAGGAGGAGAGACGAGATCGCGAGGGCAAGGAGGAGAGCTCGAGACGCCATGTCTACACCTCGAGCTCGGTTCGATGACGTGGTTGGGGTTTGGGAGGGGTTTTGTAAGGAAACGGACGGCGGGTGCTGCGCGTGAGCGACCGAAGGCGACAAGGGGAAGCCGTTTGGCCACGTGGGCTCATGGGACTGGTGCAATGACGTGAAAGGCCAAATTTGGACGAGTCACGCGCGGCCACGTTGGTCTTCCCGCGTCGTGGTGACAGGTAAGCGGGGAGATGTAGCCCCAGTTTACGGGTTTTAAGAAACGAAGCGCAGATCTGGCCGTTGTGATGAATCGGACGGTCGATTAGGGTCATATCAACGTGCGTTGCCCGCGTTCTCGTGAGACGGACGTTCTTGCGATGTGAGCAACGTCAGTCAACGGTTTGTTGACTTGGCGAATCCTGCAGACATCCGAAATTGCAGCGGGGTCGGATCCTCCTCTGTATACAAGCCCGATCAGAAGGCGGATCGGGCCGGGTTCGATCCTCCTCTGTATACAACCCCGATCAGAAGGAGGATCGGGCCGGGTTGTCTCGCGACCAGCGAACCCGGCCTGACCCGGTTCGTGCAAAGCTGTGGAGAGAGTACTTGCCGCTGGGACTCCGCCGCGGTTGTCATCGCATTGCCCTCTCTCCACGCCCTTGGAAATGGGGCAGAAGGAATCACTTGAAATCGTGACCGGCGAATATGATCAGTATCCTTTCACAGGTGAATGGAACATTTCGATTCGAAATGTTACTCTTTCTCCCAATCTAGCCCTCAATTCCTTCGGCTTTGGATTCGAATATCTGTTCCGTATGGTCGGAACCCGCCTTTCTTGATTTTTAGGTTCTATAAAAAACGTTGCCTTGCGATCGATTCTTCCTTTGCGGATAATGATTTTCTTTGCATGTATGTAGATCTTTTGGTTGGGAGAGTAACTAGTTGAGATTAACCTATGTATTCTGTTGGGGGAAGGAACGATCTTGATGGAGCTTGTTGATGCATGAGCGTCTTATTGGTGTTGCCTTAGGGACCGCCTTCACGGCTTCGGTCCTTTTCCAGAACCGCAGGGCCATACACTGACAACAGATTCGTTTAGTATGAGGTAGGTTCGATCTCATTCGCAATTATATTCTTAGTTTTAACATTAATGGAGAATTCATGACATGCTGAAATCTTCTTTCCTTCAAATGCTAGTTCACATTAATTCTATTATCCAATCCCAACATCTGATCTTTGTTGTGAGACATTGTGGTTCCATGATTGTGAACAATTGATGAGTGAGCACACACACTAAAGAAATGTATTACATCAACTAAATGGAGTCATCTTTTAACGTATTAGTTGAATCTTCTTGACCTTGTTCCTCCGCAAACAGGACTTGCGTGTTATGGAATTTTGGGAGATATGTTGGACAAACTCTTGGGCACCATGCATTTGAATTCCAAGACATGTATTGTGCAAGGTTGTAAATTCTATATGGTATATTAGCAAAGAATCTGTTTCCTTCATAGAAATAATTTGCTATCTGGTGACAACCAAGTTGGCAAGTTATCATAATAGGCCACAAACTTGATGCAAGTCTGTGCATCCACTTAGGCTGGATCTACATTTCAGAATCCAAAAAGATAGATATTGAAAGCTTTTCTGTATGTGGAGGATGACCTCTGGCTTGCTTCAGCTGAACCAATTTGATATGGTAACTTTGGACGATTGGAAGGGTTTGTATTGGCTTCACATTGTCCCGGTTTATGCTGTTATGGGGGGCTTTTGCTGTAAGCAATTAGGCGTTAGTGTGCATCGTGACATTCTTCATTGGAATAGCAACTTGGTGTACATTTTTACTGTTCTGAAAAATCATAGGAATAACTTTTAGGCAGAAGCATACTCTTAGCTTATGTCTGAAAGTTGTGGCTGTCCTAGCACCAGAATAGAGCAAAAGTAAATGACCAGGTGAAAAGTTTTAATGGTCACTGTCTTTCCATGTAAGTTGCTAGTATTTGTCAAAATTTATTGTACTATAAGGAAATTGTACATGTAGGATTTTTTATATGAGAAAGAAGGATGTGCCATAAATAAGATGTTCATGCCAGAATTTACAGAACACTTTTGGTGCAGTGGTTCTTTGTGATCGAATCTTATTATTAGATGGATATATTAGTTGATACTAAATGTAAGTATCTGGCATTTCTGTTCTTCACTTGTGACAAAACAATTTTAACAAAGTTAATGAAACACAAAACAACAAAAATGTTAGCTTCTGTTCAATATTCTCTTGTCACATAATGAAAACCGACTTTCTATGTCTTTTATTGTAACCGGCCTATCTACCTACTATCAACATATTGTGTTTTTTTCTTTCTAAAATAGGACAGAGATCTATGACAATAAGATGCTATCTTTTACCCTGCAGCCCAAAGAGCACATGATTGCAAAGAATAGCTCCTATAAATTTGCCCGAATTTGGAACAAAGCTGTAGATGGGACATCGGGGCCACTGATCATATATCCAGCTCATGGTTGCGGGTTCAGTAGACAGTTTATCCAAATGCAACAAAGGTGCAGTTGCTTCTTTCTGTGTGGTATATGCTTTTTAATGTTAAAGCCCTAAATTTTCTATTTTGATTGTTGTTTCTGAAATTATTGTATTTCGACTTTGTGCTGTGTATTGTTGTTGTAAACAAAACTTGAGTTTGTACCCCAAGTTAGGTGTACAACACATTTTAATTGCCGATCTAATGATCCTTACTGATCAATTTACTTCATTTTTCTTTCATAAATATCCTCTTCAAGTGTTTGGTTTTAATCCAAGTTAGCAGATGGTTGCTTTGTTGGCGCATGAATGTTATTACAGGAATGTATTATGTACTGGCATGTGTATTGAATCTTCTATCCCTTCTGGTTTGCTATTGTTTGGAGAAGCTAGAAATGACCCCTTTTTATTGATTGAGCCTATCAATCACCAGACCGTGTGAAGATGACATAAAGGACGACACTTGATAGATCTTCACTTTAGGAGTACATTCTTGATGATGCAAACAAGGTGAAGTGGAAGAGAAATGCAGAGAAACATGACACAGCACCCAAATGCGTTCATGAAGGTGAAGAAATGAGTTGATGCCCAACGACATCAACATCAGATGAGGCTTGTTCTTCTGGTTGAGGTAGAAGAGGAAACGGAGGTGTCGTCATGCATTGCTCCCGAAGGACCCCATAGCTTTGGCACCGCTCGCTCTCAGGACGTACTGGTGATAGGCTGCAGCAATGGCAGCACCGACGAAAGGCCCCACCCAGAAGATCCACTGCAAGCACATCAATTGCCCGCTCATCTCCATTCTTTGCAGTCATTAATCCATGAGCTAATAATGCAGATATCACTAGCTATCTTTTCTTTTACATATTATGACTACTGCGGAGAGATCGGTACCTGGTCATCCCAGGCCTTGTCCTGGTTGTAGATGACGGCAGCTCCCAAGCTCCTCGCAGGGTTGATGCCGGTGCCGGTGATCGGGATCGTGGCCAAGTGCACCATGAAAACTGCGAACCCAATTGGAAGAGGAGCCAAAACCTGTAGCGAAGAACGCCAGATACACACACATATATATATATAGAGAGAGAGAGAGAGAGAGACAGACGTACACATATGTAAGTATGTGATGAGAGTTACAGACCGGCACGTGGGAATCACGGGCGTTGCGCTTCGGATCGGTGGCGGCGAAGACGGTGTAGACGAGGACGAAGGTACCGATGATCTCGGCGGCGAGGCCGGTGCCCTTGGAGTAGCCGGCGCTGAGCTCGTTGGCGCCGCCACCGTAGCGGACGAAGTAGGCCTCTTGGAATCCCTTGACGAGGCCGACTCCGCATATGGCTCCCAGGCACTGCGCCACCATGTAGAGGAGGGCGCGGACCAGCGAGACCTTGCGCGCCAAGAATAGCCCCAGCGTCACCGCCGGGTTGATGTGCCCACCTGCATGCGCCGCATCGCCCACACGAGCGCCGTCAGCAAATGCATACTTACCGTAGAGACTGCAAGCAACGAGTACTGTCGCAAAGCAAAGGGACGAACCGGAGATGCCGGCGGTGCAGTAGACGAGAATAAAGATCATGCCGCCGAAGGCCCACGCGATGCCGAGGATCCCGACGCCGCTACACGCGGCGTCGGCCGGGTTCACGTTGGGGTCCGACTGGTGCTTGTACCCGATCACGGTCGCCACCGTGACGTACAGGAACAGCATCGTCGCGACGAACTCCGCGATCGCCGCGCGGTACAACGACCACTTGGTCAGCTCCTCCGCGTCGATGAGCGGCGCCGGCGGTGGGTCAGTGTAGTCCTTGCCTCCGTACTCGCCGCGTCCTGCCACCTCGGTATCCTTCGCCATCGATGCAGTTGCGAACCAGAGGACAAGTAGTAGCACTTGTAAGCTGTGCGCTTGGAAGGAGGGAGAGTTGGAGCTATTTATGGGCCACGGGTGACGAACAGTAGCAGCAGGAGAGCTGGTTCTCTCCGTGCAATCTTGCTACCGATGGATTGAGGTTTAGGGTTATAATATGCCGCCCCTGACCGACCAAATCCTCATCGGTGGATCATCATCGCAGTTCATCAACCCATTGTCGGCCCCACCACGCAGTACTATTCCAAGTCAGATGCTCGACCACCGCCGGTACGTGAGAGGGATGCTATATGCCTGTGTCGGCTGTGTCGTTTCTTCCATTGATGGAAGTAATGGCAGCAGGGTATGGCAAAGACTAGGGGCTCGCAGTAATCTCACACAGACGCAGGTGACCGGTGATATGACCGATTAAAGGCGAAGCACTGTGATCAACGCAAATTTGTCGAGGACGGTTATTATTCACAGCCCGTTTCGCCACGTGGGTGAAAGGGGACCTCCGGCTTAAGAAACGAGCGAAATAAGAGAGAGCCACGTGGATGGCTCAAGAGGAAGTGGCGGTCGGCGGCGCCCGGACACGGAACCAATCCGGGGTTCGATAGTTTAGATTTTGTTGTTGGATTTTTGCGTCGGTTAAGTTGGCTTGTGGCCCGCGTTTAATAGGCGGTGCGGAGGTGGCGTCATCGACGTCGCCCGTCTCATGTCCAGAGTATTCCAGCGACAAAAACTCCGCCCTCGAGTTGCCCAATCATGCATATAGGTTCCGCACGAGGTGTACAATTTTTAATGTCAGATGATGATCCCTCCAAAATCAACATCCAAGACTTATTTAGCTTTCCAGATCACCAAAAACCATTTATTGATCTTATGAATTAGGTTGCCATCTTGGTGATGATATGAGGGCTGGACCAGAAGAATCTTAATTAATTATATAGCTCATCTTTGTCTCTAGGTGGTGCGTAATTGGTGATGTCTCCATTTGTTTTTTCTTCCACGGATGATGAACTGAAACCACTATCAGCAGAACATCTGAAATGAATGCATAAAAGATTACTACTACTCCTGAATGTTGGGTCAGAAGTGCATATTTTGCTATTGTTTCTTGGCTTTCTTTTCTCTTGACGAACCAACGACGACATGTACGAGAGAGAATACAGAAGACACCCACAGTGGGTGAAATACGAGGAAAATCTAATGTATTTATCTCACAATGTCAATCTTGGCTTTGTCAGAAAGCTAATGACATCTTGAATATTACTGGGAAGAGTTACTGATCGTTTCACTGCCCATGATTGATTAAATCCGTTTGTGTTGTTCCTGGGCATATAAAACGGCAGATACAAACGGGCCTCTCTTTGTGCGAGTCCAGTAATCGTAACTAGTCATGCCGATGATCCATGGTGGACGGAGATCAAATGCGCAGTCCATGAACATGCAGACACACAAGCAGAGGAGGACTAGATACGGGAGGGAGCTCCAAGAAAGGTCCTGCTTCCTTAATACCAAAGCTCCGTTGCCACTCACAGACAGCTATTAATCGCATTAAGAAACAAGATGAGAGAGAGTGGTGAAGCGCATCGATAAGCTTGACGGCTGGTTCCCAAAGTTCACTCGATTATAACTTGTCAGTTGTAAAGAAGCCAAACCCCGATTTGTCCCAAATCCAAGGCTGGATTCTCCGAGAATAACGTACTGTTTGGATAGCTCTCGGGAGCACCCATTATGTATATGTTTAACTTTCTGCACAGAGGTCTCTCTCTCTCTCTCTCTCTCTCTCTCTCTCTCTCTCTCTCCAATGCTGATTCTTTAAAGCATGACAACGATGCTCGAACTCTGTAATTTATCATCTCACTATATGTCCAAATCTCTTCGATCTGCAAAATAAGTTAGGTGGCTTCTTAAATGTGATGTTGATCCAAATCAATTACCATCTACATGTGAATCTCAGGGTTGCATTTGTCATAGTTCTGTCACTCATGCAATAGAAGCTGCATTGTGTTGTGAGAGTACAGCCTGCTGATCATCTACACATGGCATATGTTTAAGAAGTAAAGCAGAATTGGACAGCTCGAGACACAAGCACGAGAGACTTCAAACTTCTGGGGCTGACTTCTTCTTATTCCCAGCATCATAAGCTGCCAAGAAAGGTCTAATATGTATCTTGATCAAGCTCTAACATTCATAAATACGTCTCGGCAAACAGAGATCCCTTTACGCTTGATGTGGCAATGCATGTTCTTCTCGAACCAAGAGTTGTATCTGATGTTTCCATTGTGGTGAGACAGGTGAGCCTGAGCCCATCTTCTCATGAGAATTCAACTAGACACTGATGTGGCCGAGGATAAGAACGAAGAAGATCAGATATTGTCACCACCGCAGACAGCTAATCCTTTCTTCCTTGCTCCGATAGGTTATCCTGCACATCACCTTTGGTCATCAGTAAAGGAACAGTGACTCCCAGGTAATCTTCAGCTGCTGCGTTCGGAAATCCATGACCCGTTGACTGCCAAGCCAAGGTTTTAATCATCTAGAAGTCGGTGACATTAAAAAAAAAAAAAGACTTGAAAGCGTTTACAACCACTGTTGCAGACGCATCAATGAATGATGACAAGGAGGGGTTGACTTGGAAATCCCAAGCAAAGCTTTGAACGCGATGCAAAATGGCGTTGCAATCAAAGTCTTTACACCGAAAGCTACAGCTCCGCGAGCCATGGCTACTGCTCTAGGAAGAACAAGCCTCCGCTTGGACTTCTTCGCAGTGGCATTTAGATTTACCGCCCCCAAAAAAATTTCCCTTTGCATGATTTGCATCGAATCAGATTCAACAGGAAACCGTGAATTCACCTTGCGAACCGGAAGATTGGTGTCGATCACGCTGCAATAGTTGTAGGGAATCACGGTCGCCATGGTGACGATGAGAGAGCAGTCACCGTCGGGAGGCAGCACGGGAAAGAGTGTCGCTCACGGCATCCCTGCTTTAAAAATCGTGCCGGGTCTTTTCTCAGTTCGGCCCAGTGCCGTGCCACGTCCACCTTTCATCCCCCACGTGCGAAGGCCAGTGGCGTCTCGCCACGTCCCTTCTTTTTTCCCTCCCCGAAGCTTTTAGTGCGCGAGGGTGTACGCTTGTCAGTGGGTCCCGCCTGTTCCTACTCTGTCACGCCACGGCGCCGCATCTGCGCTGGATAGGGAGAGGGGAAGGAGGGGGACAACGTGGGTCCCACTTCACGTGCGGTGATGCTACCCCGCGCTATCGGGCCGTGCGATTTGCGCGTCGCGTCGCGTCGCGTCATCGATGCCGGTAGACGCGTGTCCCGCCGCGGGCCCCGGCCGCGGCCGCGACAAAACGCGGATCACCTTTGATTTCGAATTACCATCCTGCCGCTCCTCCTCCCCCCGCCTCAGTCACTCCCATCCTAGCCCTCGATACTTCGGATCACCACGCCATCCAACGGCCACGGTGAAAAGTACGACAAGCTACTCTTGCGGATCACGCTAGTTACAAGATAGCACCTCTTTTTATTCTCAACAGGAGGAATCCAGGTCCAAAAGGCTGCCGTGCTCCGCGAAACATCAGAACGTGTTTAACGAGGAAACAACGAAACACGCGACGTGGTGGCGTGAAGCCAGCCCGATGGCAGTATCGTAAATAAAAAGCAGGTCGAAGGGCAGCATCACATCGAGGAAGAAAGAGAAACAAGAGCCTTATCCACAAGGCCTCTTCCAAGTGAAGGCTTCTCTATAATAACAAGCTCTCACGAGCAATGAAATCTAAAGAAGGAAGCGCCCAATCACAGGGTTTTCCCTTTCCCTCTCTCCTCCTCCTCGTCTTCTTCCCTTCTCCTTCGGTGGTCCGAAACTACGCAGACCAAGGACCGAGTCGTGAAGAATAGTTGAGACGAGGGGGCTTTCTGCGAGGAAACAGAATACAAAGACGAGAGCTTGGTTGATCATGGCGGGGGGAAGACAGCAGCTGACGGCGAAGCACGCGGCGCACCGCCTCTTCACGCCGACCGCCGCCGGGTTCGACGCGGACGAGTTCGAGGAGTCCGACGTCTGGGGAAGCCCCATCGAGCCGCGCCTGGCCGAGTTCCCGAAGCCGGCGCCTTCCTCCCGGCCTTCTTCCGCGCGCTGCAAGAAGGCAGATCGCGCCGTCGCCGATGCCGCTGCCGCCGCCTCCTTGCCGGTGAACATACCGGACTGGTCCAAGATACTCGGCAGCTACTACGGCGGCGGTAGCAGCAACAGCGCCAGGGGCTGGTGGGAGGAGGAGGGCGAGGAGGGCGGCGCTGGGGGGCCGATGATCCCGCCGCACGAGCTGCTGTGGCGGAGCCGTGCGGCGTCGTTCTCTGTCCACGAGGGGGTCGGCTGCACCCTCAAGGGCCGCGACCTCAGGCGCGTTCGCAATGCCATCTGGGAGAAGACTGGGTTCCAGGACTGACACCTTCGATCGATCATCCATCACCATTTAGCGGAACGCAAAGAGACAGACTGCAAATGAGGCCGTTTTTGCCACCAAAAAGCCATCTTTTTTCCTTCTCTTATATGTATATCTGCAAGGATATATGGATTTGTGCTCATATATTCTTTCCTTTTCCCCTTCTTGGTTGAAGTTTTATAGCGTACGTATTTAACTTTCTGAAGCCATGGATTGTAACTTGGAGTGCCCAATTTAATGCCAAAGTTCAAATCAATGTCATGGAAACAGAGTAAAGCGTGTCTGTTCCTCCATCGCTACTTGCGTACTCTCGGTGCTTTCCAGAGAATAAATCCCAATGTTTGATTGTGAGAATCGAATTGCTGTTTGCTGATACAAGCCAATCTACTTCATATGTGTGAGAACTGGTTAAGGCTGGTATTCATCTCGGAGGATGGGATTCAAGGAACAGTATGGTGAGGAACACCCTTTGTGAGAGACTCTGCAGCCTCCGATAGAGGAAAAAGCAGGAGTGTGATTAGAGAAACCATACAAGTAGAACTGCCGATTTCTACTTGGACAAATTTGGTAGGCAAATTTATCTAAATGACGAGACATGTCGTGAACAGCAAAGGAAGAAGAAGAAGAAGACGAAGAAGAAAACGAGGGTATGATGTGTGCTTGTGCTTATCTTATACAAGTGGGGTGGTACTTACTGTAGAGCAAATAATCAAAAATACAAGAAAGCGAGATTAGGAAAAGAGAAACTATAAACAAGTGAATTGATTTACTCTACAATGAGATGACTTGCAAGTTCTTCCCATTTCATGTTTCTTATGAGAACCTTTAAATGAAGCTTTATCTTTTGAATGATAGACATTAAATTAATGGAGAGAGAGTAGGTTAAGATATCCAGTGCCTTCTTTTCTTGACACTTTCAACCTTGCCTCAAAAAACGCAGACATAATAATTGAAGATATAAGTTTATATACTTGTGCTTTTTCTTATGTGCACTGCATGGACACATCTTTTAGGACTAGAGTTATATGCTTTAGGATTATATTTAATGCAAACTGGCATATGGCATATTCTGTTTGGTACATAATTTAGAGCACTTGTTGTGCTTTGGAACAGTTATATGCTAAATGAATGAAAAGTAATTTGGTCATTCTCACAGGGAACACAGTCAATTCTCTTAGCAGAAAAGCTGCAGTACCTCCTCTAATAATTCGATGACTTTATGCTTGAAGCTGAGTGCATCGTGGAATCTCATATGGCATTTAGATTGCTCTCTCTCTCTCTCTCTCTCTCACACACACACACACACTCACAAAAGAAAATGCCATGCTAGTGTTCGTATTCCTGCTACAAAAACTGTCCTTTTTGGGGGTGGAGATGGACACTCTCCATCAAGCAACAGGTGCTGGAGAGGGAATCCACAGCCACAACAAAGCCAAAGCCCCACATAGGTCTTTATGTTGAATTAATAATGGTAGGTAAAGATGGGAAGAAGCCATTCTTATTCTTTGTTTATTCCTTCAGATATGCCAATGTCTTGCATTGTTGATAGGATGACAACATTGGGTATTTCAACAAATTAATAAAATAAGACAAGCGATTTATTATTGTGGTTGAAGATATGGTTGTGTCTTCCATTTTTAAACCACCTCAGCATGGTATTCATGTCTTATCTATTTCTTAAAGATAAGGATAGGTGATAGTGACTGGTTGAGGCATCTCAACAATGATTTTTTTTTTCTTTTTTGCTTGCAAGAATGATTTGGTGATTCTGTATCACATAATTTGCCAAAAAATAAATATCAGTTAGATCTTGGCAAAAAAATCTATAAGATCAAATCGATCTAATCAAATATCTAGAAGGATAAAAAAATGCAGCTTTCGAGTTGAATTGTATTGGTTTCACTGTTCCATGCTTTTCTCCTAAACATATACGAAGAAGATGGCCAATTTTCTTGTCCATATTTAGCTAGTCTACCGGCCGGTGCACCCACACAAAATCTCTGAGACTCCACCTGCAATCCGTATCATTTTTTCCTGCTCATGAGACAGGGAAATGATTGATATGTATAAGACCTCATCTGCATCTCCTTTTCTCTTCACTCATAGTAGATGGATTAGATCACCGGCCTTTTTAGCTTGCTGTTAACGTGTCCACTGCAGGCAGAGCCAATCAGAGTTGGCAAGAGAGAGAACCAAAATGCAGACAAAGAGCTTCCTCCGGAAAAGATTGGCACCTGTTGAGTAAGAGCAGAACGTGAGATGCTTCACTAGTTGACGTTGTTGATTTGCTTGCTTCATGGCCGGATCCTGATGCGGAAGCATTGCAGCTTAGAACAAAGATTACAAGACACTGTTTGAGGCTGCAAGCTGCTCTACTTTGCACAGACAACAATGAATAAGAAGTGCCATCTGACTTTGTTTTTGTTTCCGTTCGTTGCATCTCAGCAGATGCGGGCTTTGATCATGTCTTGTTTCGATCCGTTGCAACTCAGGCAGATCCTGGTTGAGAAGAACTGCAGATTTAGAAGACGAAAACAAGAAACTTTCACTATTTGAGGTTGCACACTGCTGCTGTATCTTTCCAAAGGCAAGAGAGAGAGAGAGAGAGAGAGTCTACTGCCAAGGAATATAATTTATTTGTGATAAGGAATTGCTTGGTTCTAATTGTCCATAAATAAATGGAATACAGATATTGTTTTTAGCAATATAAAAAAAACATGATTTAAAAACAAAGATATATATATATATATATATATATATATATATATATATGTGGATCTGGTCCAAATGACATGTTTGGTAAGTCAAAGTTGCATGCATGTATTTTTGACCTAATCAGCAAATTCTGAATTGTATGCCGAAAGAAAAAAAGTGTTTTTGTTTTGCATTTTATATATCGAGCGTGTGGATAGTTGCACTAAAATTAATCCTTTTTCTTTTACATAAAACAATGGATGCTCATTTTAGTTTCAATAAGCTTATACGATCGGCTATATATCTTAATTGGACATCCCAAGTTGGACAAATGACCCATTATTCAACTTAGGGTGGGCTTTAATATTTCATAATTTATTTTAATCTTTTTTTGTCTCATTTAACTTAAGTTCTAACTCTTTTAATTAAGAAGTGTGACAGCTAAGATAGAAAAAGGGGTAGCTATGACTATGAAAAAGAGATAAGTAACAATAGCAATAGAGGGTAGAAAAACAAAAGAAGAAAGGGAAGAAGGACAAAGACAACTCAAATACTATTCTCAATCATCCACGTAATATTCTTATCTCAGGTTAGATCAAATTTATAGTAAATTCTTGCTGCGATCACTTTAGAAAAAATTTGGATATTATGTATAGTGATATAATCCTTGTATCCGAGTTATTCTCTTGTTATTGTTGCTTGAGTTTTGGACAAGATACTTTGAGATTTGTATATTCATTATTCTTATAATAGATTTTCTCTAGCTTGCCTCATAGTTTTTACCATTCATATTGAAGGGGTCTTTCACGTAAATCTTGGTATCATATTTGATTGTGATTTTTGTTTAATATCGTTGTGTTACGATCTGCTTATATTTGTTTATATACAAAGTTTTCTTTTTTATTCCATCAAAACTGTGTGTAAATCAAATAAATTAATTCATAAAATTTGAGTAAATATATAAGTATTTGGGATTTATAAACTTATTACTATGTTACCCATCAAATTGACATATAAAATAAAAAAAAAACTCCAAATAAATGCATCCGAAGAATTTTAATTCTAATCGTGTTGACACATCTGAATCGAGGAGTAGACTATTATACTCAGTATCATATTTTAGATTTCGATCCATATATAACGCCAAGTGTCATTTAATATAATATAATAAATTTTATTATAAAAAATATATAAAATATATATATTAATTATTATTTTCAGGCACTTAATCTTATCATAACTAATAATTAATCTTATAGACCATTTGAATGAAGCGTCTTTATTCCCCTCGTTAGAGGAGGCCAATGCCATTCTTGGACACCTGCATAAATGATGCGCGATCATCTGTACAAAGATAATCGATGTTCATAAAAATCTAGAGGCCGACTTGGTAGATGATACAATCATCTATTACGTTCGGCTCCGATCTTTCGATCCTCCAAACGAGAGAGTGCATTATCATCGATTGTAGAGATTCTCGGTGGACATGCTGACGTGAGGGATAGTTTCATACCTCAAAGACATGAATTTTAGTGAGGACATGCACCGAAAATAATTGTCAATATTAACATTTAGTCATCAGCTAACCTCAATAATCATCATCACTTCTTCTTCCACTCCTTAATCTCTCCCTCTCCAGGAAAGAGGAGGAGCAGGATTGCTGCGATAGACAAAAAAAAAATATATGCGAGAAGAAAAGGGAGTCTCAACTTGAGGAAGGCTGGTTTTGGGATGACTGAAAGGTGCTGCGCCCCATAGGATCGGGGGCTGCCATCCTTCCTTCGTTTTGAGGCAGTGGAGGGGAGGAATCCGATGGCAATCAGGTTTCTTTCAAGTCGTCATTTGCTTCGACGACTGAGGTTTTTGACTTGGTTTCAATGAGTTGCATCCTTCTTCGGTGGTAGAGATCGAGATTTGACTCGGTTCGAGCGAGTCGCGTCCTTCTTCACATTCTTAATATATGGCATTTTTTAGACGATGGTCTGTGATAGAACATCGAAACGAAGGAATGATTCCCCCACTCCACCACCTCAAAGTGAAGGAAGGATCGCAGCCCTCAGGCCACGACTTCCATCTGCGACTCCCTCTTCTTCCGGTATTCTTCTTTTTTTTTTTTGCATATCGCAGCAACCCTGAGAGGGAGTGACTAAAGAGTGGAAGATGGAAAGGAAGAAGCAGAAGAAATGATGATTATTGAGGTTAGTTGATGACTAAGTATCAATATTGACAATTATATTTTGGTACATGCACTTACATGTCTTCAGGGTGTCGAACTGTCCCTCACACCAGCATATTTCATTTAGATACCGACGCCTAACGAAGGACGAGGAGGTTGAGGAGGATGAGAGAAGGATAAGGAGAGAGTAGCAGCAGAAATTAGCTGATGATGAGAAGATGGCAGAGAAGATGTTATAAATTGTTCAAATTAAAAAGAAAAAAAGAATTTCTTTTCAAAAGATTTATTTGAAAATGTGTTTTCTTTTATTTTTTGATAGTTATTTTTCAAAGGTAGTGTCTTTTGAGAAAACAGTTATAATTTTCAAAGGTGGTGTCTTTTGAGAAAATAATTAATTTTCAAAGGTCGTGTTTTTTGAGAAAA